TCGGTGGAGCTCCCTGTGGGGCCACGAAGGGTGTGGCACATGGGTGCGGTGGGCGCCTGCGAACGCTGGCATGTGGACCTAAGGGGCCACGAAATGTGTAAGGGTATGCCGATACATGTGCATGCGGACGGCAGAGGCGAGGAGGGGAGGAAGGAGGAGGGAGAGGAGGAAGGAGAGGAGAGGAGACGCGGAGCGCTGTCCCTTCAAACCAAGGATCCAACTCCACAATATGGTTGGGAAAAGCATTGAACATGATCCTGGCGAAGGATCCAACCATATGCAGTTGTGAATACCGCGTCGGTGCGTATCCTCTTCGGTGGAGCCCCCTATGTGGCCACGAAATGTGTGAAGGGTGTGCCGAACCGTGCGGTGGTGCCATGCGGGCGCTGCCACTGAGGCCTTAGGTGCAGCTCCTTATGGGCCCGACACGTGCGAGGGGTGTGCCGAAAAAGGCGCGGCGGTGCCATGCGGGCACTGCCACTGGAGCCTTCGGTGGATCGCCCTATGGGGCCCGAAACGTGTGAGGGGGTTGCCGAAAAGGGCGCGGCAGTGCCATGCGGGCGCTGTCTCCGGGGCCTTCGGTGGAGCTCCCCAGTGGGCCCAAAACGTGTGAAGGTGTGAAAGGTGTGCCGAACATGGGCGCGGTGGTGCCATACGGGCGCTGCCTCTGGGGCCTTCGGTGGAGCTCCCTATGGGGCCCGAGACGTGTGAGGGGTGTGCCGAAAGGAATGCGGTGGTGCCATGCGGGCGCAGCCTCTGGGGCCCGAGGTGGAAGCTTCCTATGGGGCCAGAAGCGTGTGAGGGGGGTGCCTAAACGAATGCGGTGGTGCCATGCGGGCGCAGCCACTGGGGCCTTAGGTGGAGCTCCCTTTGGGGCAAGAAACATGTGAGGTGTGTGCCGAAATGGGTGCGGTGGAGCCAGCGCTGCCTCTGGGGCCTTCGGTGGAGCTCCCTATGGGGCAGCGAAGCGTGTGAGGGGTGCGCCGAAACGGGCGCGGTGGTTCCATGCGGGCGCTGCCTCTGGGGCCTTCGGTGGAGCTCCCTATGGGGCCACGAAGCGCGTAAGTGGTGTGCCGAATATGGGTGCGGTGGTGCCATGCGGGCGCAACCTCTGGGGCCTTAGATGGAGCTCCCTATGGGGCCACGACACACGTGAAGGGTGGGCGGAAACGGGTGCGGTGGTGCCATGCGGGCGCTGCCACTGGGGCCTGAAGTGGGGCTCCGTATGGGGCCACGAGGCGCGTGAGGGGTGTGCCGAAATGGACGTGCGGAGGGCAGAGGCAAGGATGGGAGCAGGGAGGAGGGGGAGGAGGTGAGGTGAGGAGGGACGCGGGGCGCGTTCTCGTCAAAACGAGGACCCAACGCCACATGATGGTTGGGAGCAGCGGATTTGTTTGACTATGTTGGGCTCTCGGGGGCGCCACTTGGGAGGCCCCGGGGTGACTTCAGATCCATGTGAGGGCCTTCACTCGAAGGATTTTGACCTCCCTTGGGCCGTCTTAGGGTCATCTGGGGGCTCGTGGGCCTTTCTTGGGTTCATGAGCTGAAGAAGTTTGGCCTCCCAGGCGCCACTTGGGTCGTCTTGGGGCCCACTGGTCCGTCCCCCGAGGCCCCAATCCACGCACTTGTGGTCAAAGTTCTGGCCCCCGTCGTTTGTTGTCAACCCCCAGTAGCCCGATCCCCGTCATATGTACAAATCGGCAAAAACCAAGTCCGCGCTGCAGTCAGGAGGCGGCTTCCAGCCTTTCTGGGCAAACGGAATAACCACAACCACAACGAAGTTGCGCTTTCGGGGGGCCACTCGGGGGAGAACCCACCGACCTCGACATGAGCACTTTGGTTCTGGTTCGATTTGGCCGTCCTGGGACGCTACATCGACCACAACGAATACGAAGCTGGTTTCGGTGTTCCGACAAGTTTGGCATGCGCAAGACATTCCCTAGGATGTGCAATTCGGTCGGAAGAAGTAGGTTAAACCATGAAGAAGTAAGGCGGATGCAGTAGATTGGGTTAGGGCCGCCCAGATAATGATACAACACAGCAGAAGCATACCGATTCTTGAAGTAGGACGACGCTTGAAGTAGCTTGGGATCTGGGAATCCAGAACTACCTACTTTCAACGACCCGAGTAGCGGGAGGGAGACGGATGGAGGGCATGAGGGGGAGGTGGATGAACAGGGGGACCGAGGAGGTGCTGAGAAGGAGGGGGGAGACGAGTAAGACGAGTGGAGGCTATTCCTCCTCGCTCTGTGCTGTCTGGGCCCTGGCGAGTTCGCTCCGCGAGGCCGACCCCCCTCTTGCAGAGACCTACACCTGCGCCTCATTGCGTCTACCTGTCGGTTGTCCGCCATCCGCCACCGCACCTCGCTGCTGCTGGCGTGCCCCTGTCACTCGCTCTGCCTCCAGAGTTCCTCCAGGAAGAGAGGCGGGAGGAAGGGGAGGCGACCACCTGACCCAGACCGAAACACTGTCCCGCCTGATGCGTTCTCGTTTGGCAGCTGGGTACTTGCTCTGCGAAGCTGCAACAACAGTGAAGCTACGCATACATCGAGATCTGAAGTTGTGAGGGGAACACGCATATTTATGTGGGATCTCTCGAGCAATATCGATCCGTAAGTGTCCCTGAGCTCGAGACGGTGCGAACACGTGCGTCGTTTTTCTGCACTTCACGACGCCAGGATCTGACGGTGCCTCCAGTTGGCTTTCGGGCCATACGTACTTCGGTCCTCAATTGCCCGTTCGGGGCGATTTGCCTCTCAAGGCTCTCGACGATGCGCAGCTGCTTGACGACTTCCTGGGGGTCCGAGTGCATGACAGTGGGCAACAGATCTTGAGAGATCGCGTGGCGATCCGAACAAGTCAGGGCCATTCTCCAGCGATGCGCTTCGTTGATGCGGATAGCCTTCGGCGGGTCGACTCGAGTGATCTAGCATGGGGAAATGGATCCTGAGGGAAACGGGTCCTGGACCCTGGTGCCTTCCCCCAGGACGAGACCTTCCTCCCGAGTCGCTTTTAGACGCTCCCGGCGCCCGTGGAGGGCCCCGAGAGCCCGAACACGGCCACAAAACAAAATCAGGACCCGCTTCCCTGAGGGGCAGCGATAGGGGGGGGGGACACTGGCATAGTGGGGGATGCATCGACCTAGAATCGGCGATACATCGCCGATAGATCGGCGATAGGCCTCCGACAGCGAATCCGCACCTTCCTGGGCAGGCAGGGGCTATCGGGGCCCTGTCGGCGATCAGTGAGCGATTGGGGGTCGATGCATCCCTCCTTATGCCTATCCCCCCCCTATCGTTGCCCCCGATTCCCTCAGGACCCGCTTCCCCCCGTGGCGAGCAGCCTTCGGCGGGCCGGCTCGAGTGACACGCACACGCAGAGAGAGCTCAGAGCTCTTCGCGACGACGGCGCGCGCAAGCGCGCGGGCCCCACGCCCGAGGCCTCCGACCGATGGGGCCTCTGGGAGGCGGGCCTCTGGGAGGCCTCCGATTAAAGCGGCCCTGGGACACACGCACAAATACACACAAGTAACAAGATTCCCAATATTTTCCAACATTTTCTTGGGTTTTGTCTCCCCACCCCCCACCTCCCATATTTTCCTATATTTTCCTGGGAGTCGACGATGAACTGTGTCTGTGTGTGTTTTTCCCTCCTGAGAGAGCCCTCACGGGTGGGGGGGGAGGCCAGGGGGGGACGGCGGGTCCTGCTCGAGTGCTGCCGGGAGGGGCCCTGGGACCAGAGAGTGCTGCGAAGATGACACGCGGGCCATACGCGAGACGACATGGCGACCTTGTGCGGTTGCTTGCGTGGGCCGCCGGCGCGGCACGCTAGATTGGAAACGAGCTCACTGACGCGCGACCTTACGCGGGAAGCTTACGCGCGAATGTCGGCGCAGGCGGCCCCGGTTTCTTCCGGCGCTCAGGTTGCCCCAGCTCTTCCAGGGAGGCTCAGGCGGCCTCGAGGATCTGCAGAGGCTGGAGGGGGCCAGCGGGGGGTGAAATTCGGCGCGAAGCGCTGGGAACAGGCTGGGGGCCATGAGCGCTCTTGCAAGGCCGTCCGCGGCGACAATACAGCGAAAACCAGCCGAACTGACAGCGAAACCGAACGCGACCGAAACCGATATGCCGCAAGCAGCCCAGAAAGGTACAGCGGCGCATCAACGACCATGACAACCGACCGAACTGGACCGACTCAACGCAACCGACTCCGTCGCAGCCGAGCCGACCGAACCTCAGATAAGGTTGGCGCTGGAAAGATAGCGTTCAACATCGATCTCAGAAGAGCACGCTATCCCTGAGAGCATTCCCCCGCGAGGGCCCCCTCTGCGCACGCTGGCCCCCTGCCAGGACCTCCTCGGTGCACGCTATCCCCGGAGTGCGTAACAGTGCTTGACGAGCGGGCTGGCGACGCCACACGGCACGCCATCTCTCCAACGCCAACCGTACCCTTAGAATGAGGAGGAGGAGGAGGAGGAGGAGGAGGAGGAGGAGGAGGAGGAGGAGGAGGAGGAGGAGGAGGAGGAGTAGGAGGAGGCAGGAGGAGGAAGAGGAGGAGGAGGAGGAGCAGGAGGAGGAGGAGGAGGGGGAGGAGGAGGAGGAGAAGGAGGAGGAGGAGTGGAGGAGGAGGAGGAGGAGGAGAGGAGGAGAAGGATGAGGGGAGGAGGAGGAGGAGGAGGAGGAGGGAGGAGGAGGAGGAGGAGGAGGGGGAGGAGGAGGAGGAGGAGGAGGAGGAGGGGAGGAGGAGGAGGAGGAGGAGGAGGAGGAGGAGGAAGGAGGAGGAGGAGGAGGAGGAAGAGGAGGAGGAGGAGGAGGAGGAGGAGGAGGTGAGCCTTCCCCTCCCCCTTCCCCGACCTTGACACGGCAGGGCCTGGCCAGGCCTCCGACGGCCTCGCGCGCGCGGGCGCCTTCTCGGCACGTGGGGGGCAGGTCGCGGCGGGCGACGAGCGCGCCCCGCCCAACAACCGCCGGGGCGTGCGCACGCCACCATGCCCGCTGGACCGCTCAGGCGCCGACCATGACTGGCGGCCTGCGCATCGGGGGAGGAGGAGCAGGAGGAGCAGGAGGAGGAGGAGGAGGAGGAGGAGGAGGAGAAGAAGGAGGAGGAGGAGGAAGAGGAGGGTGCGCGCCATTGTTTGTGCTGTTGCTGCTTGATGGCCCTCAAGAGACCCCTGGATGCTTACGGAAACGCGCGCGTGAAGACGAGGGTGCGGATGAGGATGACGGAGGACGACGAGGATGATCAGGATGGGGATGCGGATGGTCCATCAAGACGAGGGAGTGCCGCAAGGACATAAGGTCCAGAACGAGGAGGATGCGGACGCGGTGGATATCCTCCCATATTACGAGGAGGCGGTCGTCGAGAAGCGTACGGAGGGAGAGGGGGAAAATAGGGCGAAGGAGGGGGACGGCGATGGGTAGGAGGGGAGGCGTGGGATGACGAAGAGGAGGCGGAGGCGGCGGCGGAACGGAAGAGGAAGAGGAAGAGAAGGAGGATGAGGAGGACCAGTGTAAACCAAAGGCGCATCAACGATGTTGCAATACACCCTCCTTCCAGGTTCCTTCTTCATCGGGACCTCTAAGAGTTCGTTTTCATTACGGAAATGACCCATTGGAACACCACCGTCGGACAATCTGAAATCGTGCCAGAGCACCTCTTCCTGGGACTTCAGCACCACGAATCAGCGTGACTATTGCGCCCTGGCAATTACAGATCTTGCCAGAGCGCATTCCCTGGGACTTCGGCCATGCGGAATTTTGTTTTACCGTCGATGAAGGAGCCCTGTGGCAAGAAAACGCAAAACAACAGACAACGGGACGACACGACGAGGGGGGGCGCGGGAAAAGGCGGGGGGGAAGGGAGAGGGGGACAGCCCGCGGGGGCGCCCGCGCCGGGCGCGGCCCAGCGCAGCGCTTCAAAACGAGTGTGCGGTCATGCGAACTCTTGAAACTCTTGCAAGCTTCAACATGAATGTGCACGGCGCTAATGCGAGAGCCTCACTCTTAACAAACAACCGCCCATCATCCTTGAAGCTGTTGTGAACTTTCTCTCAAAATCACAGCGCGCGGCGCTGAAGCGAGAACCAAATTTTGAAAACCGCCCGCCCGCCCTCCGTATCCTCCATCCGCGAGATTGTTGCAAATTTCAAGTTTCAACATTACAAATGGTGAAGCTGTCTCAAGCGAAACGCCCGACCATCCCTACCGACACGTCTGGGGGTGCGACAGGAATGGGTTATTCATGAGGACCAGGAATGGAAGAGGAGGCGGATGAGCATGAGGTAGAATACGAGGAGGACTGCTGGCTGGGGCGATTATTGGTTTAAGTGATTGATTGGGAGGGGGGGGAGGAAGAGGAAAGGAGATGGCAGAGGAGTGGAGAAAGCGGCACAGGGCAAGGATGGGGATACTGAGGGGCTGTGGAGATATGGCCCTCACATTGACCCTGAGAACGCCCAATGCGGCCTAATATTTCAAGATGTCACTCAACATCTCCAGGGTCTAAGGTGGCCCCACGATGCCCCAATACAGCTTAACAAGGCGAGCAACGGCGACAAGACAACCACAACACCGCCCAACGAACCGAACCGACAACGAAACCGAAACCGACAGGCCGCAAACAGCCTGGACGGGCCTCCTCCTCCTACCTCTCCTCCTTCTCCTCCTCCTCCTCTGGCTTCCACCCTCCAGCATCCGACTTTCCACCTCCACCTCCACCTGCCGATCACCCAGCACTCCGACTCCAGCATCCGGCTTCCGACTCTCCACTTCCACCTGCACCACTTGACCTCCAGCGTCCACCAGCTCATAACTCAGCACCCCGACCTCGGCAAACAAGGACTACAAGCACTGAGGGCTCCGGCCCCCCCGCGCAGGCCCTAAAGGGCCCCGCTCCTGGCGGAACCGCGCGCTCGCCTCGCCTCGCCGCCTCCTCCTCCTCCTCCTCCTCCTCCTCTTTCTTAGGTTGTTACCCGCGGAGATGCGGGCGCCTCCAGCGCCCCAAGCAACGAAGAAGCCAGCTCACCACCACGAGAGCCAGTTCGCTAGACCTTTGAGTCCTCGTCCTCCTCCTCCAACCTGAACTCTACCTCGTCCTCAATTATTTTTCCCCTGTCGCACCCCCAGACGTGTTGTCAGGGCGGGCTGGGCGTTTCGCCTGGACATCTTCACTATTTATGTTGTTGAAGCTTGAGGTTTGAACTGTGGAAACGGAAGGATGATGGTTTTCGAACTTGAGCTCTCGCCATAGCGCATCGCATCTTCGTACTAGTCGTCCGACACTTAAGATAATGGAGGGCGGTTGCTTTTAAACATGAGGCGCATTAGCCCCGCGCACTGTCGTGCAAACAACTTGCAACATTACAAATATAGATATCACTTACTTTTCGAAATGGCCTCGCAGTGGGGCCGCGCACATTCGTCCTAAGCATTGGAAGCGATCTAAATGTCGGAGGACGGTTCCACTTCACACTGGGGCTCCAGCTTGAGACCCCCTGATATTTCAAGATCCAGCACCTTAACATACGTTACAGCTGCACGGATTGAGGGCATTTCCTGTTCAAAAGGGAGCTCTGGCTTGAGACTTCCCTCGAAGTTCATGTCTAAAGATCTGAAATTGTGCCACACTTGCAAGGGTGGGGGGCGGTCCTGTTTCTAAACGGGAACCTCGGTGGACACCTCGTTGAGCTGTATGATCATACATCTTCGCATTCCTGATTCTGCGCTGGGAAGACGAACTGCAATTCATTTTCAAAACGGGGCGATCACCAGAGTGGAAGGCCCAAGGATACTGGTCTTCCAAGGGAGCGCTTCTTGCAGCGAGAGAGAAGCATGTAGGGGCATATGAAGGGGGGCTTGGGACGGAAGGTTGTATTGCAGCATCGCTGGTGCATCTTACGTTTACTCAGGCCCTCCTCCTCCTCCTCCTCCTCCTCCTCCTCCTCCTCCTCCTCCTCCTCCTCCCTCCTCCTCCCTCCTCCTCCCCCTCCTCCCCCCCTTCCTCCTCCTCCTCCTCCTCCTCCTCCTCCTCCTCCTCCTGCTCCTCCTGCTCCTCCTCGTCGTCGTCCTCCTCCTCCTCCTCCTCTTCTCCTCCTCCTCCTCCTCCTCCTCCTCCTCCTCCTCCTCCTCCCTCAGGGGGCATCAGGAGGAGGAGGGGGGCCCAGGCGAAAGGGCAGGGAAGGGAACGGGGGGTCGGGAGGGCAAGGAATGGGGGGACAAAAAGGTACCGATACCGCTACTCCCTGGACGTCTCCAGGGGTGCGCTGACCAAAATCTCGAGTCAAATCTAACTGTGGCGACGAGGGAAGGGTAGCGGTATCGGTATCTTTTCCTCCGCTGAGGGAGGTGCAAAGGGGGCGTGGAATCTTCGGGGGCGTCGAGGGCGTGATGAAGCGTCCGTGGCGAAGAGCTCCGGTCTCCACTTTGGGGCGTAGCGCGTGCACCGTGCAAGAGGGGGCGCCGCGGAGAGGGGCGCGAAGGCTGAGCGGGCCGGCGGTTCCACGTGTGACTGCGGGTGGCGCGCTGGGGAGGGGCGGGCGACTCGTCGCTCGCTCACCTCGTCGTTCTCGTCGTTGGCATCCTCGTCGCTCGCTCGTCCTCGCTCGCATGCTTGCTCGCAGTCTTGCTGGGGGTTCAAGAGCCGTGTGGCGACAGACCGTGCAATGACCTCGGAGCCCCCAGCGACCTCACCGCACGGTCTGTCACAGCATGGTTTTGGGCCCCCAGGGGCCCCCACTCGCCCGAGAGGCGTCCTGGGAGGACGGCCCGAGTCCCAGAGCCGCGCGGTCACCCCGAGTCCCCGCCGCCTCGCCCCACGAGGTGGTCCCCGCCGCACTTCGGGGCCCCCCTCCAGTCTTGGGAGGGCGGTGAGGTGGGGTGGGAGGCTATGGTCGGGGGTGGACAGAACCCCCAACAGTGACACGTTGATTAGTGAATTGTCCGTTTTCGGTCCTCGAGAGGGCGCCGCGGCCGTTATTTTCCAGGCCGGCGCCCGCCAGGTTTGGGCCTCAGGTCGTTTTCACTAACCCACGTTTTACTAAAGGGGGGTCTGTCCATTCCCGATATGGGTGGAGTTAGGAGCTCGAGGAAGGTAGCTCTCGCCTGCCCCAGGACACGGGAGGTGTCGGCCTCAAGCTGGGCTTTTGCTCGCTGACCTGAGAGGCTTGGGCACTGGCACCAACAAGCGCAGAGGGCTGCCTCCACTGGGGGAAGGTGATCCTAGATGACATTCGATCCGACTGTATGGTGCTGTTGGTGATCTCTCGGCCACCCGAGAAACCAGAATATAACCGTGCGGTGTGGTCACCGCGACGTGCTGTGCCCCCGCCGCTCTGCTCTCAGCAGGAAAGCGGCGGGTCCTGTTGGAGGCGTGTCCCGGACCCCAAGGCCTTCCGAGGGAGACGGGCCCTGGACCCCGGGGCCTTCTCTTTGAGACCAAGCCTTCGTCCCGAGCCGTCTTCCGACACCCCCAAGGCCCGCGGAGGGCCCAAGAAGGCCACGTGTTGGGTCCCCCTGCCCTCGCTCTGCTTCCAGCATGAAGGCAGCTGGAGGCATCCTAGATGGGGTCCGAGCAGATGGGGTCGAAGGATCGCGCCGCACCGCCAATGCATCGCCTATGCATCGTCGACGCCGGCGTGGAGAAAGTCGGGCTCCACATCGAGCCGCATCGCCGATGCGGCGGCGATGAGGCGCGATCCTCCGACCCCATCGACTCGGACCCCACCTAGGAGGCCTGGAGCAACGGGTCCTGTGGAAAACGGGCCCGGCACCCCAGGGCCTCCTCCCAAGATGGGGCCGTCATCCCGAGTCGCCTTCTGGCAGCCCCGGGAGGCCCGCCCTGGGAGGCCCCGTGAGCGGCGAAAGACCTGAGGACCTGCTTTTCTCGGCGGCCAGCCCAGGGGGGGGACGCGAGAGGGGGCGGGCCTCCTCAGAAGGCTCGGAAGTCCCCGGGCTCCCTGACACATGCTCTGCGCCTCCCACGGAGATGCAGACAACTTTCAGGAGCGCCCCGTCGCCTCCTGCGAAGCCCTC